GGTTACCTGTTAAACAGGTTACCGACCTATTACCAGCACTAATTCCATATAATGTTAAATTTCTATGTTAATTTTTCATATATAATGTTGTAGATTCAACGTAAAAATATAAAAATATCTTAGGACAACAAGGTATAACCCAATCTTACATTATTCTAGGATCTAAGGTGTGTATCACTATCACTACTACAACTAGCACCGGGCCCGACCCTTGGCCGGGAGAGTTCGATTATTATATATTTTGATGAGTTGTTGTCATTTATAATATGTAATTTTTTGGTATAAATAAAAAAATATAGAAATAAATAACAAATATAAACAACTAATATAAATATTTAGAAAGCAAATGTGTCTATTTGTTTTGTATTTCATTTAGGACAACATGAGAGTTTTCTACCATTACACACACAAAAAATCAATCTTATTCGTAAAAGAAAATGATTGTCCATTGATGTAATTTAATCAAATATTTTTTATAAATAGTTACCATCTTTATTCATCACGGTACATTATACATTTGAAATTATATCCCGTGAAAGAATATATAGAGCACATTAGACGAAAAATCAAATGAGTATTTTGTGCACTGCGGAAGTTATAATTAAAAGTTGAGCATTTAGATGTCTCATTGTTAACTTCAGTATTATTATTTTAATGTGAAAGTAGAGGTAGACAAAATAGTGGCAATGAAGAGCAAATTGATCTCAAATGGTCAATACATGGAAGCTCACTTTGAAGACTATATTTTAAAGTAGGGCTGATAATCGGTTCGGTTTTGTTATAACCGGAACCATTTAGTCGGTTCTCGATTAAACGTTAAGCACTTTGTTCTTACTGTTAACCGCGCTGTTTAAATTAGTCGATTAACCATAACCGTATAGTCGTTCTTGGTTATTTTTTTGGTTAACCGAATAACCGTTAAGCAAGTAGTTCACCAAGGTAAGACCAAAATAATCGATCGATAACCTAACCAACAAAAGACCTCCTTTTTCAATTGTGGAATTTTTATAATTTCTCATACATACACATGTGTTCTTTTCTTAAGTTGTTATCACTGAATAAAAATAATTCAACGTAGACATATAGCAATACATAATCAACTCAATCCATACACATGAATACCATTCTAGCGTCAAATTTTATTAAAGAAGCATACGACAATAGAGACCCAACAATAATTACTCAAGTCTTAAAACCCACCAAAATACATGAAAGTTTAATGTTATTGATTGTTGTCGAGCAACTGTGCACAAGTTTGACTTTCTACTGTGCTTGTTCTAAAACTCTTCTTTTAAATTATTTTCATTTAAGTCTGAGTTACTATTACAACTAGGATAGGCAAGGGGTCTTGTAAGCATTCAAACACCTCATTATTTTGGCCTATGTTTGCAGCTCATGAAAGACTATTATTTTCAACCCTAACTATGAGGATGGTCGTAATCGGTTAGTCGGGCAACCGTTTAACCGTTGGTTATTAACCGTTCAACCATCGATTATTTATTAGCTAAATTTGTCTACCGGAACTGACCGTTTACAATTTAATCGCTTATCAGTGTAATCGTTAAGCACCGGTTGCGGTTCGGTTATCAGTCACACCGTTAACGGGATAACTGTTTACCAACCCTATTTTAAAGTAACTTTGTGCCTTCCTGTTGCATCTTGCTCTCCTTAAAATCCATAGCATGTTCAGATATGAAACAAAAGACTTTAATTATGCTCTCAAAAGAAACATAGGGAAGACATTTAGATATTAAAAAAAAAAAGATAATACGCAAGGTTCAAGAAACTGTACCGGAGGTTATATCGGAAAAGTGAGTGGTAGAGTATTTTGTACTATAATCGTGGTTTAACTGTGATTGAATCGTTCCTACTGCTAAAACCGTCCATCGTTTTGGTTTTGGTATCCGGTATTTGTGGTCCGACCGGAAGGTATGGTAGGGGTTTCTAAACTTTACCACCATCTATAATCTTAAACACTTGGGGGAGATGAGCGAGCTTGAAGATGTGAGTCAAAAACATTGTCAAAAAGAGGTTCATTGTGAGAAATTTAATATCAAGAAATCCAATAAAAGTTGTTGTACATGAAAAAAGTCTTGTGTTTCCTAATCAATTAGATAGCCAAAAGCAAGATAAGTAGACAAAAAAAAATTATAACCTGCGAATTTGAAGGTTTGATACATGAAATAAAAAACCATTAATTTATAGTTTGTGTTCATCTCCATGAGTTAACCCTTATCCCCATACACATAACAATATCAACACAATTCTATCTATTACCATTTAACCAGTAGATTACATATTACAAAGCAAATAACAAAACTCTAGCATATAGATAAAGATGTTCGCAACCACCAAACAATAGATTCGGCATTCATTAATCCTCAAGCTGTCAAGCATACAATTAAATGGAGTTTATCTCCACCAAAACATAAACATATAGCTTGCAGTTTAGATTCAATCGTTAAGGTAATTATTTATCAAGTGTCTTAACTTAATAAAAATCATTAGATTAATCAAGAAGAAAAAATCTAAAAGAGAAATGTAGATATTCAAAATTAATAATTAGTTTCATAAGTATTTACAAAATAATAATGTGAAACCTCAATTTCTCACTCTTTCTCTACCATATTCAAACCGTGTCGGAACCTCCCAATTTGTACTTTTCTATTTTCACACGTCATCCAACACATTCGCTTCTTTCCAAAATGAATTTTTGGTTACCCTATTTCCACTTCCTTCATATACCATTTTCACATAGGACGGATTTGCATTAGACGAAGCTGATATTGTTAATCACGAGGAATAGATTCGATAACCGTCGTTGTTGCTTCGTATATGTCCTCCATATTATACTTCCATTGCAGTCGATGTCACAGTTGTCTATTAATATTGTTTGGTCATATTATTGATGTTCATGATATCATTAATATATTACTTCATAAATGAATATTTATGTTGATTATGACAATTGTTAACATCACACAAAATGGAATAGGTACTAACTCATATAATTAAAACTAATATCATAATTGTTAAAAATCCCTATTGTTGTTAAAAGTACATGTTCGTTCTATAAATGGTTATTTGGTTGGGATTTTGTAGAGTTTTTTATGTCTGGGTTTTGTATCGTAATCCAAATCATCTTAAATTGTTATTTAAATACGGTCTAATAAAACCATTAGATTAATCTAAAGGCCAAAATTAGATTGAAGTAAATTGTAACCAACGATTAGTATCATATATATTATGAAAGCGAAGATGATACTGGAATCTTCAAGATTGGGAATTTTATTAGAATAATGATAAGTTACTTTTTCATTCATGTGTAGCTTGGTTTGATAATTGTATTTATGAAAATACACCATCTTTTTGTTCTTTGACAGGTGAAAATAGAGAAGATTGGGCGTGGAGACGAATTCTTAAGCTTTGGCCAACTGTGTAGCCGTTTATGAGCAAGCAGGGTGATGAAGGCTTTTGGAATGGGAAATTGATGTCCAGCTACTTAGTGAGCGCAATCTGGGATATGATACATCTTGTGAAGAGCAAACAACACTGGTCCGCTCTTCTCTAGAGTAAATTCTATGTGCCGCGTTTGAGTATCATGGCATGGATTGTTGCCACGGATGCGATAGTAACCAAGGTAAAGTTGATGCGGTGGGCTAAATTGAATAAAGATAAATGCATTTTATGCCATGCGAATAGCGAGACCTGGTATCATTTGTTTTTCAAATGTTGTTTCTCGAGGAGTATTGTTAGCAGAGTTGGTAATTTTTTCAGTAGCAGCTCTTGGGATCTCCGACTCTCATATGCAGGGTTGGTTGCAAAGCGAAACACGAATCCGGGAAGACTTATTAGACCTCTATGGTGCTCCATGATTAGTGTTGTCTGGCAGGAAAGGTGTCAAAGGCTCCATGGAGAGGTCCCAAGAAAGGCAGAGTTGGTGACAGAGTTATGGCTGCGAGATTTCCGCTTCTTTTTTTCTCTTATCCAGGTGTAGACGCTGGGAGAGTTCGCGTCCCTCCAGCAGCATAACAATAAAATAAAAATAAATTGGAAAGTGAAATAGAAACCAACGAATTTAAAGCCTAGCAGAAACGCTAAAATCAGTGTGAGATTTAAAGCCCAACATTAATGTGTTAATTGAACATTCCAATTAAAGTGTGGTAAATGACATTTTTTCCGTCCAAAAATCACTCTGTTTGCTAGATATTTGAATTTGAGAAAATTTGACCCATGAATCTCTTTCATATATTTTATAGATTGGAGGATAGTCTAGAACTAAAATAATCAAATATGAAAATTGAAGTACCAAGCACCATAAAGATATTTACAGGAGACTTAGTGAGCTAGCTAATCATTATGCAAAAGTCATTTGTTTTTCAGATTTTAATTTCATGCATGTTTTGTACTAAAAAGTATGCAGCGTATTTGTTTAGTGTAATTGGTTATGTTTCTTGTCCTTGTTTAAAGAGACCATGGTTCGAATCTTAGTGTTAATATATTTTCATACAAAATAAATAACTAATTGTGAAGACAAAAATATCCTTTCTACTTTCAATCTGGTTGCTCAAAATTTGAAATGGAGAAAATTCAACACATGAATCTGTTTTATATATAGTATAGGAGATAGATGTCTTTTTATCTATATGATGTATGCTTACGAAATGTTTTTTAAATGATGTTTGATTGTTTGTGATAGGAGAGTGGCATTGTATCTCGAAAACTAGGAGCCTTTTATGTTCATGATGCAACCCTTGGATATTGTCTAAATTGAACATTGAGCAAGATTGTCAACCCAGTTTGGCCTGTTGGCCCGTTCGAGTAAGTGGGTCAAGGATTAATGGCGGATCGTTTTAGCCCGGTTAATACACCATTTAAAAATACATACATAAAATATAATAATAAGTAAAATGTTTGATAACTGATTAGTAATTTAATTTCAAATACCTTATAATAATTTACAAAAAATATATATATTTAATACTAAAAACCCCCCTCAATTCTCTTTCCCTTTTTCCATCAATCGCCACCCCTTATCCAACCCACCTCCTCTCTTTCCACACCAACCCTAAACCTCCTCCCTCTGTTTCCATATGACGCCAACACTAATCCTCCACAGCCCACACCAACACGGCAACACCAATCCCTCTCTCTCTCCCATATCCATACACTTGCTCCGTCCCTCTCCTCCTTGTCGTTCGCCGCATGTGCCTGGCTGGTGGCGCCCTCTACCGTCTAGCTTCCACCGCAGCATCACCAGAGTCGGCTGCCTCAATGGGAGCGTGCCCGTCGATGAATGAAAGGACCAGGCGAGAAGCCACGCTAGAGGCAAGATGTCAAAATTAGTTTGGGGCTTAGGGTTTTCGTTCCAGACCCAGTGCTCTCCTTCTCTAAGAGAAATCCCAGCCAAGAGAACGACGTTGCACAAGAAAAGGCGCCTCGTAATGTGTACCCTGCTGACCGGCTCTAACGGGTCAACCGCTCGGGTTTCACTGGGTTTAACAGTAGATATCGTAAGATCGTCAAGACTCAAACCGGCGATCATGAATATGAAAATGGATCAATGTTTAGACTTTAGTAATTACTTGCTCTTTCCTATAAACTCGCTCTTTCCTCTTGGGTGTTGTAGATCCCTAACCAATACTTTGTAATTACTTGCTTAGATTGAATGATTTTGTGTGAGTTTGCATAAGTTTGAGTATTAGAGGTGTTTTCATGGTGATTGTGCTTAGTTGTGCTTTCCAAATCTTGTGTGCTTGCCTAACCTAGATTAGGAGAAAACCACTCCTTTTTAGGTAGGCTTGACAAGCTTGGTTTTCCTAGTCATTTTGTGCCTACTATCTAGGTTAGAGATGAGCATCCCCCTTGACTCAAGTTTGCATCTAGGTTGTTTGTGATTAAGTCGCTCAAACTCCGGTTTGATGGAGGGACCTAGACAACCACTAGTGACTGAGTGAGAGGATCGATACCGTGAAAAATCGATCTCTAGTGAATCCATCCTGTGACAAATGGATCACTACTTCCTCCTCCTAGCAGTTCCCCTAAACTTGGTGAGTGGATCGATCCCGTGACAAATCGATCGCTAGGGATTCTATCCCGTGACAAATCGATCACTAGTTGCTCACCCCCGCAGTTCACAAACACCTACGCCACACGACTCCATTCAATCCAACGAGTCGTGGTAGCTAGCTAGGGGGAAGCAACTCTCAAGTGAAGCTCCCTTAGTTAGAGTTTTCCTTTATTTACTTTTCTTTGCTTGTTTAGTTTGTAGTTCCATTAGTTATAAACTCAAAACTGTTTTGCTAGATAACAACTTAAGTGATTAAAGTAGGGGTACATTGGTCGGGCCGAGTCGATATTTAAATACTTTCTCTATACTGCACCCGTCTAGAGTTTAAAAACTTGGACTCTAGTCGGGATTAATTTGTAGTGTAGTTTCGTGCGAGTCAAGTTGTTATGTTTGTTTTATGTTTATTGTTCTCCAAAAGCAAGCTGGTACGATTTGTCTTGTAGTACCAAGCTTGAGTATTTAAACCCAACTATGAATGAGAAACACCCAAGACTTCTAGGGTTTCATTTTCCCCAACTCATCTTTGTTGTTATGGTATCAGAGCCTCTAGATCCTAGAGAACCCTAAAACCTTCTACCCTAAAAAATAAGGACTATGTCCAGATCTGAAATTTTCTATTCATAAATCCCAAAAAAAAATAGAGTAAGTTGTTCTTCGTTAAGCTCAATCTCTATTTTGTTCTTCCTGGATCCGAATCATTTCCCTTATTGCATCTCTTTTCCCATTTTTCTACCCTAAATCTAAACCACCAACCGTACGTCCATCACTCCATCTCAATCTCTCTTCCACTCCTCCCCTGTTAATTTCCCCACCCAGAAAACCAAAATCCCCCCAAACTTCACAAGTCATCCTTCACTTCGTCTCCACATCTCGCCCAGAACACATACACCAGAAAAATCCCCAAATCCGGCAAAGACATCTTTCTCAGTCATCTGAAACCCGCGAACGAGCTTCACGGTCTGGATCCTCGCGGCGGAGCTGGAGAACGAAAACGAAATCCAGAAGTTTCGCAAGCAAATCAGGCTACCGATAACGACTACGCTGACGCCAAGATCCTACTTCCCCAGCATCCTAGCTTTCGACGCTCGTCCTCAGCCATGTCAAATCTTCTCTCCACAACAATTTGATCTAATACGAGCTACAACCGGCGAATCCAGACCGCTGACGATCGGGATCTCCGAACCCAAGACTAGGAAACGATAGACGTGAGGAAGTGCCAAAGTGAAGCAGATCTGAAATCAACCATTCCCGTATCCCCAGCCGTCGTGTAGAAGCGGAAGAAAAAGGCGACGAATCAGCTGGAGTCAAAGTGTCGCCTCATTCAACTCTGGGGACCTCTACAGCCGACAGATCTGAAATCGTCACGAACAACCACTCTGCTCTTCCCCAAATCAGCTCGCTGGAGGTGTTCGCCGTTATCGACCGCCTTTCACTCAACAGTTATTGTTGTTGACATGGCCAAGAAAGGGCCATTGGAGAACCCATTCAAGCAAGCGAAGTCGGACAAAGAAGAAGTCTTAGAGGAAGCCCCCGCTGCGAAAGAACCGAAAGCAAAGGAATACGCCACAGTTGCTTTGGATTCGAACGAACCTGGCACAACCACCATATCGGCTTACCCTTCTCGTCGCGGTAGCCGCAATTTGAAGCGGAACAACAGCAAGGAAGCAGCAGCTCGGAAAATAAGCTTCGTTCCTGGGGAAGATATCGAGAATGTCAGAGAAGAAGGTAAGAATATTGAACTCGTTGCTGAGATTTACCTCTTGAATGAGCAGAGGAAGGCTTTCGAGAAAGTGATTGAGCAAATTTTCGGTGATAATAAGTTTCTAAAATTTTTGGTTGAGAGGTTTGTGATTGTGATTGAGAAAAGTGAACAGATTGACAATATTGGTTGTTTGGGGGAGATTTCCAAGAGAAAAGAGTCTCAAATCTGTTATTGATTCACAGTAAGCAGAACAGGAAAAAAAAGAAGCTGCTAGTTCCAGCAGCAGCAATAAAAAAAGATCTGTTTCAGCAAGAGGAAGAGAAGGCAGCAGCCAAAATATGTTGCAGCAGAGGGAAGAAGCTTACTCCATTATTGAGTTTGAAGTCAAAAAAATTGAATGCTTTCTAGCTAAAGAAGCAGCAGCATATTTTCATCAAATTGGAGAAGCAGAGGGTAGTATTCAAACAGTACACTCCCCTGCAAAATTGAAAGTTTGTTTATTTTGTGTATGGAATGCGAGCAAGCAACAAGAAGCAGCAGCATATCCTACCACTTTGATGTCCCAATTGAAGCTGGAGATGAGAAGGATAGCCACTAGCAATATTGCAGCGGCATCCTTAATTGAAGAGAATACCGAAAAGCTAGCTAACCAAAGATGCAATGGCTTGCCAACTAAGAAAAAGGGATGCCAACTAGCCAAAGATGCTGTGGTATCACCGATTGAAGAAGAAGAAGATTTCAGCTAGCTAGCCACAGATGCAACACCTTTTTCAGAAGATGTGGGAAGTTAGCTAGCAAGATGCAGCAGCTTCATCATTTGAAAATTGAAGGGAAGTTAGCTAGCCAAAGTGCAACATTCTCAAATCAAGACTGTACTTTCTCTCCAAACTTGGTGTGCACATTCTGTGCTCACCCGCTTGTGGGGGGGGGGGGGGGGGGGGGGGGGGGGGGGGGGGTAACAGGAGATATCAAAAGATCGTCAAGACTCAAATCATCGACCATGAATGTCAAAGTGGATCGGCCAGATTTAGAGGAAATCATTATCATCAAGTTTAGTTTAATGTCAATGTGTGTTTAGATTTTAGTTTGAGTTAATGTTTTATCTTTGTAGTCTCCAAATGCTAGCTTGCACATGTTGTCTTGTAGTGCAAAGCTCTTGCCTATTTAAAGCAAAGTATGAATGAGAAACATCCAAGGTTTCTAGGGGTTTCATTTTCCACAATTCATATTTGTTGTTATCTTCTGAAAAGCTGCTTCACCATTTGAATTGAAGTTTGAAGGGAAGTTAGCTAGCCAACAGTGCGGCAACATTCTCAAGTAAAAAATGTATTCTGTCCAAACTTGGTGGTGTGCACATTCTGTGCTCACCCGCTTGCGCGCGCGGGGTTGGGGGGGGGGGGGGGGGGGGGGGGGGGGGGTTTAATAGGAGATATTGAAAGATCGTCAAAACTCAAACTGATTGACAACCTTGACATTGATTTGATGTGGCAAATTCTATTAGATAATTTTATGACTTTTGTTGAACTTCAACTTATATAGAGTTACTAACTTACTATAACTCTATGAAGTGTTTTATGGACAAATATTCACCTTGATAAATTTTAACTCAAGTGGTAGATTTGATATGTGTGATTTCATAATGTAGCACTGAAGTGACAGATTGACGGTTTACATTATGCACTAACCCCTTTTTCCCTCATTGAAAATAGAAAAAAGGACTCGACTCACAAAATAGGTTCTTTCAAATTAGATTAATTTTGGGAGGGGGGGGGGGGAATCTTTCGTGGCAGGTGAGAACAAGATGGCTTTAAATTAACATATCGACAAAAAAGGGGTTGTTTGTGGGAATTGAATATCTTCACTTCCCTAAGGGGTTATGACTTATGAGATTCACACAAATGGCAATTTGGGTATGAAAAAAAAAGAATATTAATTATTTTTTATTAATTACACATTGAGAATTAAAAATTCATATTAAATACATATTATTTATAAATTTAAATCCTACAATTAATGCACTTATATAACTCTCTTCCCTTTCCAACAGCCTCTCCGTTCCGACCGCCAAACTTTCTCTGATCGGCAGACTTTTCCGGTGAAATCCTTCAATCAGGCTCGCTCTGCCACCTGCAAAAAAATTCCATTCCATCAGTGCGCTACTGGTAGTCGTACGCTACCACTACTCACTGGTAGCATACTACAGCCACCAGTAGTGCTACCAAAGGTTGCGTACCACTAGGGACTAACACAAAAAAACCAGATCCCGAACCGGAAAAATCCCAAATCTGGAAAAGAAATCAGGGGATGAGGAAATGGGAAGGCAAGGAAGAGACTGTGACCACTCAACGGTAGAGTGAAGACAGGAGGTGGTGGGAGGCGGAGCAAGGGGGAGGCAGAGGCGGCGTTGGTGGTGGTGGTTGGAGGTGGTGGCGTCGGGAGGTAGAGGCGGTGCCATGGTCGAAGGCGGCAGGAGGTGGACACGGAGGAGACGGAAGGTGGCGGCGACAACATGGAGAGACGGGGGGAGACGGCGGCGGCGGCTGGTGTTTTGGGTGGAAGGGAAGAGCGAGGGGGGGGGGGGGGAGGAGAGGAGGGGAGAGCGGGGGTTTTTTTTTTTTTGTTAGTAAAGAGGGATTATATAAAAAATGGGAAATGTAACTATGTAGTAAATTTTTCCATTCAAAAATACCCTTTGTTTAATCTTAACCATCAATTTGAAAAAGATAAGAGAGAAACAAAAGAGAGAACGTATCCAATAGCTACCAAGTGGGTTGTTAATTTCACAACCCCTTGGGGAGTGACAGTATCTCACCCATAATGTGATTTAAGTTGTGTAAGTCATTCCTTCATTTGACGAGGTTCATGGTTCTTATCTAGCTTCCAACAAATATTTGTAAGCTTATTTCTTAGCTTTAAGTTAAGTGGTTTAGGTGAATTATAAGTGATTGGTTCCTAATTTGGCAGATTTGTCAGCGGTGGGTCTTGCCACGTAATAACTGTTAGCGATTTGTCAGCACCGTTAAGATGAAATCCATTAATTTGGAATGGAATTGATGGATGGTGACTTTACATATCAAGTCCAGTAGTTTAGTCGAACTATTAACAAGTTTAGTGGTAATCATGAATCAACAAGTATAATATATCAAAGTTGGGAGTACGTAGTTTTTCATCATTTCAAATTTTCTCTAATGAGTGAAATTAGAAAAGTGTAGATCCCCCCCCCCCCCCCCCCCCCCCCGGTAATTAGCAGTTTTCTATTAAGCACCCCCTTGCCAATTCACACAAGGGCTCGAAAAACTACATCAGTCCTGAAGAGGAAAGTATACTAAACGAAGCTACTAATCTATGCAAAAAGCAATAGGTTGCAAACTTATGAATATGACTAAGAAACTCAGGATTAATGTGACAATAGAGTCTGAGCTCCTCCTTCACAACCCCAGCCAGCACACTTGGAGATCGTGAAAGCTCTCCAAAAAATCTTTTGCAGCGCTCCTTCCAAAGAAAGCAACAGATGCAACACCAAATTGATGTTTCAGCAGCTCCACTACTCTCACTTTCAAATTTGTTGATCACTCGATCAAGCATATCAGACCAGAAAAGAGGCACAGTGATTCTGCATTTCAGCATAGCAGCCATCAGTTCCTTCATATAGTGACAGTGACAAAAGAGGTGCTCTCTACTCTCCTCCGCTAGTCCACATAAAACACATGAACTATCTGTAATAAGCAAACAATTCTTCAGTTTATCTTTGGCAGCAATACGATCAAGAAAAATAAGCCATACCAGAATCATATTCCTATGCAAACTATGCTTATTCCAAACCACTTTCCACCATTACACTCTTGGTTTCTTTCTTCGAATTGTGTTCCAAATAGTGGCTAGTGAGAATCTCTCCATCCTTCTATGTTGCAACCATGGTATGATCTTCATGATCTGCTTCCAGATCCAGGATCCCGTAGAGGTAACCCTGGATTCCCACACAGTGACTCATCTGAGCCTGTAGAGTGATATCCAAGCCACCCAGAAACTCTCTCCTTGGAGAAAAAGCAGCCTGATTAACTTGACAAGATATGCTAATTCTAGGAGACAAGGTCTTTTACTCCCAGACCACCTTCTCTTCTGGGAAATTCCAAGAAATCCTAGGCCACCTTAGCACTCTCTGTTCCCTCTCATGCCATATAAAATCTGAACAAATTTTTTGCACACTCTTCATAACCTTTTTTGGTAGAAGGAAGATAGTCATCTGGTAGTGTATCAGAGAATAAAGAACTGCCTCAACCAATTGGATCTTTCTTGCATATGACAACTTACTGGCTTTCCAGCTACGGATTTTGCTTGTTATCTTATCAATCAAAACACTGCACTCATGGCTGGAAAGCTTACCAGCAATCAGAGGGAGACCTAGATATCTTACTGGCAAAATACCCTTCAGGAAACCTCAGATTCTTAAAGCTATCTTTAAATAGGTGTGCATAACCTCCAAAGAAAACTTCACATTTGTCAAGATTACATTGTAACCCAGAAAAAAAATAAAATTCATTCAGCACCCCCGAGACCATTTAGTGCAAAAGCTGACCCCTGTGAGAATATAAGTAAATCGTCTGCAAAACTCAAGTGAGTCAAATCCAGATTCTTACAACGAGGATGATAAGACATATAACCATTCTTAGCTGCTGAATTGAGCGTCCGAGTGAGAGGCTCCACAGCAATGGTGAAAAGGTACGGGAAAGAGGGCCCCCTGCCTAACACCCTTTGCAGCCTTGAAGAACCCAAACAGACTCCCATGAATTGATATACTAAATGTAGTTGTGCCTAAACAAGCATCTATCCATTTCATAAACAAATCAAAAACCCCATCAAAACCATGACACACTTCATATAATCCCAGTTGGGAGAATCAAAAGCTTTTTTTAGATCAACTTTTACTGCACATCTGGATGAAATGTGCTGCATTGTATAGCTTTTTTCATAACAACTTTTTCTACACAATTATTTATTTATTTCTTATCCGCCAATGGGCGTTGCCACATCATCACCATTAGTGCTTTGTCAGCCCATGTTAAGATGACATCCACTAATTTAGAACGAACGTGATGGCGACCTTTTATATCAAGTTCAGTGGTTTAGTTGAACTATTAACGAGTCTAGTAGTAAGCATAAATCAACATATATAATATTGCCAAGTTGGGAGCAGTTTTTCAGCATTTCAAATTTCCTATAACGAGAGAGAAAATAGGAAGCGTATATTTTTCTCAATAGTTATTTATTTATTTCTTGTCCATCAGTGGCCTTTGCCATGTCATCACCTTTAGCGCTTTGTCAGCACTATTAAGATGACATTCAATTAATTTGGAACGAACGTGATGGATGGTGAGTTTTTATATCAAGTTTCGTGGTTTAGTTGAATTATCAACGAGTCTAGTAGTAAACATGAATAAAAAAAAATATAATATAGCAATGTTGGGAGCAACTTTTCACCATTTATAACGAGAGCGAAAATAGGGAGTGTAGATTTGTCTTCAAATTTTTTTTATTCATGAAAAAAATATCGGGATTTGAAGTTTTGAACCATGGTGTCTTTACATAGAGACAATAATCATTAACAATCACACTAAACAAATTTATTGTCTCTTTCAAAACTAAATTGCTACAAAAACCTAATATTTGAAAATCATATGACTTTTCCAGTATGGTTAGCTAGACCACTAACTCTCATGTAAGAATTTTTTTGTGTTTGATATTTAACTCAAATTTAATAATTTCTGTTTTTCTAAATGGATGATATTTTTAAAATCAACAACCAAACCATTGGTTCGAATATTGCGTATGGAAATGAGTATTGAATGTGAAGAAGCAATGTAAAATTCCTAAATTATATTTAAATTTTAGAACTACCATAAAACAACAATATTTTTGTGCAAACTATAAGTGACGAGTTCTATAAACAATTTAGTTCAGTTCACCGCTTAATTCTCTTGACAATCCAACACGAACGAGCCCATGGCAAGTTTAAAAGAAAAGACTTTTTGAACATCGATTTTGTAGATTATTTTACTTATTTAATTATTTTATCTTATAGAGTATTTGACCATATCTATCATTCATGAAAGCCAATTCATGAAGTCGGACTAGAGTTTTCATATAAACATTGATGTGGTTACATGCCTAATGAGGGTGGTACCACAAGATATGTTTAATTTTATTTGTTGATGGAAGAAAATAGTCTTTTGAATAAATTTCGAGTATGTTAATTGACAAAAAAAGATATGATATAAAGTATGAATGAGGAATGTATCTTTTGGTTCACGGCGTTGGGCCCTATTGTGGTTCCGGATTTTTGACGGGCGTTATTTGTTTTTTTTTTATTTTCAGCCCTTGTCCTATATATTGTATGTATCTTTTCCTTTGGGCCTAGCTCATTGCATTCTTAATGATCTCACTCATTTAATGAATAAAAAAAGCATACTAACAATGGATCAGTCTCAGTCCGAAACGGAGTCGGAGAAGGCAACACAAACCGTAACAACCTCAAAGTATCAAACAGTTCCTAAACACACAAAATCGATCAGTTTTTCTTATATAATCGTCCATTACCGAATCCTCCAACCATCTGCGCCATCATCTTCCTTCCCTTCATCCGTCTGTTGCTCTGCCGATCGACAACTGCATCCATTCGGCTCGGAATCTCCACTAAGCTAAGCTCACGTTTTATCCCCTGCCCCTCGAGAAACAGAGTTCAGAAGCAAACCCTGCTCTTCCAGCTCCTCCAATGATCAGCAAACTGAGAGACGATCTCCTCGTAGAAGTTCTCATTCGAATTCTGGAACCTAGCTCCCGCTACCGCTGCAAACTCGTATGCAAGCAATGGAACTCTCTGCTCTCGGACCCCTACTTTGTACGCCGTTTCGATCATCACAGAAACGACATCGAAACGCCTCTGCTGCCCTCAGACACTTTCTTGAGCTTCCTCTTCGTCCCGGATGAACTTCGAAAGGATTTCCGGATCTTCGACGCCTTCAAGGACTTGCTTTTATGCGGGTTTGCAGAATTCGCCAACCCGAGTTGCGAACCTGACAGATCATACTTGCTCTGCAATCCGTCTACGAAGCAATGGATGGCCCTTCCTTTAGCCCCCGAAATGCCACCGAGATACTTCTTCATCACCTTGCAAGGTTAGTTTGTGAACCCCGTGGTTGTAGTCAAGGCGGACAATCACTTGTTCAGAATCGATTTCGCGTGGTGTGCATGCATCAGTCGACGAGGTTTGTAAGGGTAGACGTGTTTTGTTCCGAGTCCGGGAAATGGATAAAGGAGGCTCTTAATTTTAGTGGTTATGGCAACATCTACTTGAAAACCGTGATCTCGTGCAACGGGGAGTTGTTTTGGACCTATTTTGAAAACAAATATGAAGATGCTGCCAAGTCGAATCCTTTGCTGGTTGCTTTTAATCCTTTCCGGCTTGATATACCTCCAACTCATATTGATGCTAGTACGGCATCATTCTATCAGAAAACCTTGTGGAATGTCGGGGTCTCGCAAGATTGATGGAAACCAACTTCATCAGGGTTTCTATATTTATTATTATTATTATTACTAATAGGGTAATTCTTATTATGGTTAGTAGTCTTCTAATCGTATTAGGTTTATTATTAGGGTTTTCCTATCACTTCCTATAAATATGTACTTTGTGGTTTCATTATAATCAATAAGAAGAATATTAAGAAAACTCTCCTAAACCCTATTCTCCCAATCCTCTCAATTCTCGTTCCCAATCCCTCCAAAGGCCTAGGCCGATTCCCTATCTATCTTTCTCAAATCCCTAATTCTGTTCTTAATCCCTAAATCCCCAATTCCCGATAGAACCCTAATCGCAGGTTCTATCAATTGGTATGAGAGCCATGGTCACGGGTTTGAGTACATCACAACTCTCACCAGGGAATTGTTATCAGAAACCCTATCACACGTTTGAAGTTCTCCAAGCCAGTTTAGCTAGGAGGGAAGCTCACGCTGATTATATGATAGCAAGCCTGAAAGAACTTCGAGCTGAACTCGAGCGCTATGCGGGCCGCCATCGCGCGACCCGCAACCAGCCAGAGGCAACATCAGAGGCCAGTCCGGAAGCCCCTGCCTTACCTGCAGCAGCTCAGGAAAAGGAGACTTCCGTCACATCCCTTGCTAATACCGCCGATGAGAAAGAGGCGACCACCGAAAAAAGACCACCTGCTGTCGTGAAACCATCGCCGATGGTCATCACCGTCACTACGCCGCCATTCCCTGCCTTTGAGGGCCCTAAACCAGGGATGCCCATCGTGGCGGCACTGACAAGCAAGAACCCTAAAAGCGTCGCCAGTGATGGTGGGTAGAGAATCCCAGTCTGCATCGCAAACCGGAGATTCAAGAAGAAAAGAAGACCAAAGCAGAAGGATCTGAAGACGATGGAGATGTTGGGTTGGCCTTCAGATCATCGGACATGGGGTTTCCTGTCACAGAAGGAAGATTTCGAGGAGAAGTTGAAGAAGTCGTCATCAGGGGTGGAAGAGAAGGTGAAGGACTGGAATAAGAAGAGACTCGCCGCCATGGTGACGAACTTGGGGGCGGAGCCCGGAGCCAGAATCGACAGCGCACGCGGCGCAGAGGGTTCGGAGCGTCGAATCGCGCACGAAACGCCTCGATTGGCGGCGTCTTCTGTCGCACCGCAGAGTGGAGGTGAGGCGAATTCGGGGGTAGATCTGGTGGAGGACTCGCCGATGGAGTTGGAGGCCAGGAAGGAATCGGGCTCGCCACCGGAGGACGAGAAGAAGAAGAAGGGAGGCGACAGTACGACTCGTCGTTCAGCGCCGGAAATGCGGATGAAGGAGGAGATTCTGCAGGAGGAAAAACCGAGGGAGACTGGCGGGGCGGCTCCGATCGAGCGATCGACCACGGAGGAGTCATGGCGGGTGATAGGAACGTCGATTGGGGAGAAGAAGCCGCTAGCAGGGCTGGCACTCGGCGTGACTCGTAGCCGCCGTGTGGGCTGCTTGACGCCTGAGGATGACGCGTCGACGACGAGTGGCGCGCTCAGAGAGGAGATGCCGCCAGAGGGCAGGTCGGCGCTGAAGATGCCGGAGGGGTCAACTTGGCAGCCGTGCCATCGGCATAATGGCGCATTGCCGAAAAATGAAGCGATGAAGGAGTGCAGCGGCGACATTCCTCCTCCGAACCCTAAGTCGGCCGCATTGATCCTCGCTGCGCAGCAGCTTGCGGAGTCGGGCTGGGCCGAGCGGGCCGACTTCGCCGTGATAGTTTTGGCCCAATCAGATCATCAGGGCAGGATACGATTTGAAGTTGGGCTGCTTGTTCATGGAGGCCTTGTGCTTCAAATGAGGCCACTGGTCAAGTCTTTTCTGTATTGTTTCGGGCCAAGACCAACAAGCCCAATTGCTGAGGAAGAACACAGGCTGCTAATGAAGAAGAAGTTGGATGGGCTTCTCTTGAACCAGCTGAAGAAGGCCGAGTCTGGGCCAGTCTTTGGGCCCAAATTTGAAGAAACCAGGCCGCGTCCTCATGGAGAAAGTGAGCCCAATATGGGCTATGTTTTAAAGTATATGGGCATGGAGGAAATGGGAGATGAATTAGCTAGTGGGCTTTCAAATGAGTTTAGACCAAACTCACTTAGAGGAAAGGAGGGTCATAAGGGAGAACAGTTCTCCGATTCTTTCTTTATTGATTTCGACAAAAAGGAAGAAGACCTGTCAAGCTATGGAGGACGCGACATGTGTCACGTAATTGGAGAAGAGCCAAGAGACATTGAAGTTGCTGGAGAAGAAGCCAATCATGAGATTGACCGCAATTGGAAACGAAGAAAGCGGAAGGTCAAGGAGATGGAATTTAGCTGCAACCTTGAGGACAAGATTAGTTTGAAGGGAGAGGAGATGATGGAAACCAAGTTCATCAGGGTTTCTATATTTATTATTATTATTACTAATAGGATAATTCTTATTATGGTTAGTAGTCTTCTAATCGTATTAGGTTTATTATTAGGGTTTTCCTATCACTTCCTATAAATATGTACTTTGTGGTTTCATTATAATCAATAAGAAGAATATTAAGAAAACTCTCCTAAACCCTATTCTCCCAATCCTCTCAATTCTCGTTCCCAATCCCTCTAAAGGCCTAGGCCGATTTCCTATCTATCTTTCTCAAATCCCTAATTCTGTTCTTAATCCCTAAATCCCCAATTCCTGATAGAACCCTAATCGCAGGTTCTATCAAAGATGCTTTGCACCTAGTTGTATTTGAACTGAAACGTAGCTCATGTGGTCCGAGCCTCTTGAGTGTTTGGAGACTGGAAGAAGATCGTAAATCTTGGAGTAGACGATACGAAACGAAGGTAGACTTGTCCAGGTTTAAGCACATGCCGAAGCATGAGGTCGATGTAATCGATCTGCATCCAGGGAAGCCGGAAATTGTCTTCCTGCGGTTCATTGATTATAGTCAAGCCAGCGAGTCTGCTATTTGGTCCTGCAATTTGAGGAGCGGAGAGTCTGAGATCTTCTGTGAAATAACAAAAGCTTTCCCTCGTTGGAGGGTGTTCGAGCAGCGGCTCTCTTGCTGGCCTATTCCAATTCCAAGGTACGAGGAATTGCGAGGTATGTATGATGGAAGTTACAGCTCGTTTGTTCAGAACAACACCAGCACCAGCAACAATGAAGCCCACAACTGCCTTGAGACCTCAAGTGCCCTGTTAAGAAGCAGAAGATAGTGAAAGGGTTGTGTTCTAAGGTTATTCATGCACTCCAGAAGATAGCAGACACACATATTGATGCTTGTAATATGCAAGAATGTACTGTACTAGTATGTAATAGTATTTGGGTGGTATTGATGCCTAATTCATTCATCAAAAGAATTGCATCATCCTTCCTTGAAAAGCCAAGCCAACCCAACCCAACCCATCGCGTACTTTTATGGGAACCAAGAGTGGAGAGGAGATTGAGAGGACCTCAGTCGGTTCGACCCTTCTCTGTTCAAGCTTTGCCTTAGTTGCCCTTTTTTATTCTTTGAACAAACCATTCAATGATTAATAACCAAGCCCTCCATATCTAAAACAAAGCAGTGAATATCTAGTGATCAGGCTCATGGTGTGGAGACTGGAGAGCTGTTGCTGTTGTTGGTTGCTGCAGAAGTTAGCAGCTGACATGGTAAATGGTCTTTGACAGAGGGAATGACATCCTAGTGAACAAAGCATATTATGCTGTAGAAGATTTATACATGTAGTATTATAAGTTTATTACAGCCCTTTTCATCACAGGAACTGGCGGCACAACATTCGCGAACCGCTACTAATGACGAATGTAGAAGTAGTGAAGAAGATTATGATTAATGAAGTGTGCATTGTTCTAATTAGAGAAGCCATGACTTATTTCTCTCTTTATTTGAGTTAATTAAGAAGATAAAAATGGTTTATTGAAGGAATGGAGATGAGATTGTCATAATGTGTTTGTATCATTCATCCACATATTTTGTCCCGTCAGCATCCTCGAATTTTCTCAAGTGTCAACAAACATTGATTATATTCAAATTACCTCAGTTTCGAGAGCAATCTCTATTGATCAAGTAGCCATTCCCTTGAATACTGCATAGTCGCATTGCAGAATTGCTAAGAAAGTAACTAGTAAAAGGGCAGAATAGGACACTCAGTCTCATTGCAGTTTTGATTGCTCAATCTGCAGCAGAAAATTACTGAACATTCACTCATAACTTTCTCAGGGACTTACATCCCATGGAGACAAATTCAACATGAATATTTAAAACCCGAAATTCGCCTTATAATTTCACAAAAAACTTCTTCCCCAAGCCTCATCCTTCTATCTTCGCTCTGTATACAACACAACCATTGAAGTAAAGTTGTTGGTTCCGAGGAAGAATATCTTACAAGTTTTTTCTCCAGCATGAAGACAGAAAAGTAATACAGCGTCTTATCCTCAAGTCCCACACCCTCCGATCTTATTCTGTACTTGACCACACATACAAAGAAAGCAGTGAACCCTCTATGCAGGAAGAATCAACTTCCGGACAAGACAGCATTAGCAGGATGTTTCGTGACAGTAGCCAAAATATCGGCGTAACCAACCACCCCAACCAAAACATCCTCCGTATCATCTTCAGTCACCCACACATGAGTCACCCTGTGGGACAACATCTGAGCCATAACTGCTGCTAAAGAACTCTTCACTTTGCAGGTCAGAGGGGCACTTCTTCCCCTATACATGCTCCTACCAGCTCCAAAGCTCGTGTTTGCAGCATTAAACCCAACGCTCCTACTACTGAACTTCCTAGCCCTCATCGATCCCCCACCACCATTACTACTCAAATCAACCGAGAAATCAGGTAAAGACGATCTTGGAGTATGATGGTTATCCTCCACCCCCATTACAAACTGTCCAGCAGAGAGATTCGCTAGAGCCCACGCTGCTCCCAAGTAATCACACTTCCACAACCTGGAAGCCGATATCTCGCCAATTATCTTATGCCGTCCATCCGATGACCCGGGCTCCACGACAGCTACTGCGCTGGGGTCGTCAGGGGACATTTGGGTTGCTTCAATGGCAGGAAGGGAGGAGTCAACAACACTATAGTTAGGGTTGATGGCTCCCAATGAGGATATGGAGGAGAGAGGGATTGGAGCTAGAGCACCGAGGCAGCCGATGAGGAAGCGGATGACATCTTCTCTTGATAGGCAGCAGAATTTGTCGGTGGGAATAGTTGGTGGGGAGGAAGATGAAGGGAGGTTTGATGCATTCATGGTCAGTGTATTGCTACTGCTGTTGGGTGTTTCAAGGCTCTTCAGCCATCTTCCGTTGTAGAACATCGAGAATCTCTTGCTTACACGCTTCCAACCTTTGGTCTTTGGGACAAGAAGTCGTCTCACTCCTTGCTTCATCATTTCTAATGCGTCAATCAGCCTACCACAAACAAGAGGGGGGGAAACATGTCATTCTTTGCCAGCTTTAGTGAGCGATAATCTACAACATCTACATGTAGAACCCTTCACACGTTATCTTTGCTGTATTCATTGATCCTTATTGTCCAATTTTAAGGCACAACCTCATGCAGCAAGAAAACCAGTTTTGTGTCATCTTTAACTGCCCTAATATCACCTTTCGCATACAGCTATAAAACCGGAAAAAATGCATAAATCGACCCTTCTTTTGGTATACTTCTAAAAGCAAATAAGAATCATTCTCTACACCAAAAAAATCCGTGCATTGACTGGAACTAAGATTAAGTTGCCTTAAAAGGTTATATTCCCTGGAAAAACATATATGATCTCCTACTTTACTCATTATCACGCATATTGTGATGGTTATGTCCACCACCAGCAACGTTGATGCCTCCCTTGCCATCACATTTCTAATCTTCAGCCACAACGGCCCAAAACAAGAACTAATTGAATCAAGAATCTTATTGACTCAATTCATCAACCAATTTGCCACAATCGAAACCCCTAACAAGATCATACCACTGACAGAAGTGCAATCCCAAAATCACCATCAAAGTACTTGCCTAATTGTCTTTTAAACATATCACCAAAACCCTAGTTCTTTTCGTTCTGGATATCTTATTATCAAGAACTTCTAAAATCAAAAGTGTGTCCAATTAGTGGAGAAACTGACTAGCCTGTTTGACTACATACAAACCAATTATCCAGGTATTGTACAATATTTGCTCTGGTCTGGGTCGAATAGCTGAATATAAATATCAATTATATATAGTCAAATCTAACGCATAGGTCAGTTTCTCAGTTCAACTGAAGAAAAATTTGGGTAGGACAGAGATCCAACAGAAAGAAGCAATTCCTAGAAACAAATAGAACATAAGCGCAAAGAGCTAACCTTGTTGCAGGATCGACCTGTTTCAGTAAAGAATTATTCTGAACAACCACCTCTGAAACCGGTGTCTTCATGGCCCTGTCCTGATCATCTAGGCATTCTTGTCTAGCCAGGAAAGCGACAATATCGAGAGAATTAAGAATACCCACAAACCTTTGCTGCCTGATCTCACTGGTTTCAATTAAACTCAGTCTCCTCTTCCACACTGGAATCCCACACTCAGTGGAATCTCCAATCGCCCTTATGGCTGTCTCGATAGTCTCTGTCTCACAGAGTTCGACCAGCTCTGGTTTCCCCACAGTTAGATCTCCCACTACGTGATACAGAAAAACTGAGGCCATCCAAACTGTGAACAGAAAGTTGTTCAGGGTAGTCAAGACAAATAACAAAAATAGGTCGCTCACTAATTATTCATATTCTCCAGCTTTCTACTTTAGGGGAAAAATTGAATATAAAGCATTCAAGATAATCCAGCAGATACATCAGCAACCATTCAAGGAATAACAGCTGGTTGGATTTCATCCATCAGCAACCATTTAAGGAAGAAGATTTTGGAGATTATGGTTGACTACATTCCAAACTAAGCAAGAGAGCAAACAATGCAATTATATTCATCAAACATTTCCACTAGTCCTTGGATAGATCATCCTTCAAAGGGACAGCGATGGAAGAGATGTTCACATTGTTCAGCAATTTATTTTCAATGCTGTGTTAGAATTTAGCCAATATTGCGGCTGAGTGATAGCTGAAATCAGTCAAATAATATTGAGGGCTTCTAGTTGGATCTGAAATGGAAGCCTTGAATATGAAATTGAAGCACACAGTAGTTCAAAGTACATAAAGAAAGCATTATTCCAAAATAGGATTGTAACAATGGAAATGGATGAAACAAACAAAAATGGAGCTTTGGTTGGTGTCACCCTGGGAAGGAAGAGATAAAACAAAGAATTCAAGCAGGAAATGCTGGAAATAAACAATAAACGACACTAGTCGAACTATGATATCACTATTTCTTAAAGAAATATTCATATGATTGTTACATCTAATATTATTAGTGCAGTAAACAACATTGAAGCTGGAAACGCTGATCTGAAACAGAAACTTGAAAATATAAGTATCAGAAAAAGATAGATATAGATATAAGTACGATTAGCGCATTATTCCTTGCCTAAAATATCAACCAATCTTATGCCACCTTAGTTGTTGGAAACACAACCCAAATCTCATACCACGGAATAATGCTAAACGGAGACCGAAGAAAATTTGAACATTATCCATCTCATATGAACAATAAACCTATAGATTTCAAGACTCCATTTCTGATCAGGCACAGGAATACTCGAATTTACACGGATGGTGAGCTAAGCATGGAAAATGGTTGAATGGGGGAAAGTATGCGACCTGAACATATTGTTAGATTAGCCACACCTCTGTAATTCATATATCTACACAGACCATAGATAATCAAGCACGCTATATTACTAAGAGATCTTCCCTCCAAGGCGTAAAGTTGGCTAGTTTTTTTTTATCTTTTAAGTAGTTTTTTATCCAAAATGTCGTTACACTATCTACAGTTGCTAACTCGTGTCATTCCACTGATAATATGGCGAAATCGACAGCAACCTGCCTGCTGGCTTGCAGAGTCGCAGAGTTGATGAAGTCTGCGAACATGGATGTAAAACTATGCCTTGGCAATGCCTGGGGAGTTCGATTTAGACATCTATCTTCATACGATGTGTCTTAAAAGGGAATCGATTTGGTTATGTCTTGCAGTAGGGGATTGCCTGGCTATTTCAAAGCAACCCATTTTCCTGTGGCTACTCCCTTACATACTACTTGCTCCCCTATCTGCTGGCGTTATGTAATTGTCCATATCCTATTTGTTCTTGTATTAAAATTTTAAACTCTATTAATTAATAATTCTGAGTCGCCATTATAAACAACAAAATAGAGAAGTCTACAGCACAAAACCGTGGCTCCAACCCATGATACACAGTGCTTGCCTATTGACTATTGCCAAAGCAAAGTGCGAAGTTGCAGAACTTTCTCAAATCAACTCCAATGTAAAAGAAGAAACAGAAAGGCAGATGAATTACCAAAGGCTGGAAGGAATCACGGAGCTTGCTGATCAGTTGCAGCTTAAAGTCTCCAAGACTACGGCCGATTTTCAACTGTCAATCTGCACGATTTTGAAAAGAAAAAAAAAACCCATCAATTAAGGAATTACCAACCAATAGAAGTGTAAGGGTTTCAGCGGAAAGGACCTCAATCGAACCAGACAACAGTTGTGGTCGATCTGAACAGGTGGAGACGGTGCTGCAATGGAAAGCGGAGGAGGCAGAGGGGGAAGAGGGAATCGGCGAAGTGGGGAAGGAATAGCGAGTGGCTGAGAGAAGGGACAAAGAAGAAGAGAGACGAAGCTGCAAGGTTAGCGGGTCCAAGATGCGGCGAGCGAGGACCAAGAAATATCAATGGGGACAAAGAAGAACAATAATGGAGTAGCCAGAATTCCAGATTGAAACTGACAGCTATTTATATAACCCTCCACCCACACCCACACCACTACTGTTCTCACTTCTCACTGCTAGGCATGGTTGTCATTAGGAGTGGAAATTTGGATTGCGGGTTGTGGATAACCCGTAAACCACCAACCCGTACTCATTGTAGGTAACTATACCCATAAGTTGTGGGTAGTGGGTTGAGTGTGGGTAGCAAAATAATGATTTTTGTGATTAGTGGTTATCCACTATCCACCGTGGTTAACTCACAAAATTCACAATAACCACACTAATTATATTTACTTACTAAATTGACTTTATAATATAATATTATGTGAAAAGTGGGAGGCTAAAAAATAATTAGCCACCAAAATCAAATACGCAACTAATCAGTTTTATGTGATAATTTTTTGGTTTATAAAACACTATAATGGAGAGAGTGGAGAATAATCGGTTTATTACAAGTGGACAACTTTAGTAACTTTTATCTGCATGTTTTTACTTTAATTGTCATATTCGGTGAAATATGAAATCAAAGCTCCCACTCGGTTGAACCTGGTTCAACCTGTACCGGTCATGAAACTGACATGACATCACCGGTATGACTGGTATGATCGACTTATGCATTCTAAGCATAATGACATCATTTTAATGAATTTAATTAATATAAAAATTAATTTATTATTCATTTTATGAATTTAATAGTTAAAAGTTGATGATATTTGGTGGATTGTAACTAAATTATTCACAAATATGTTTTATATATGATTAAATACATTGGATATTAATTGTTTTCACATTTTTTAGATCGGCATGAACCGGCATAAACTGGTTATACCACCGGTCGTACCATTCCAGTTGCCAAACCAGTTTAACAACCTTGCTGCTAGGTGATAGGGCTGACTATTTGGTCCGGGTTTTTGGTTTCACTCGAAACCGGACCGTATAACTTGGTTTAGTGCTAGTTAAATTTCAGTTGATTACCGATTCATTACCTATAATGCACATGGCATTAAATGACGCACGTCAAAGGTCAAACATTGTGTGTCTCATCCAAGAGAGAATTTATGAGATAAGAAGAGATAGTTAAAGAATGGTATATGTAGGGTTATGTATGGTTTGTTTGATTAAGTGATAGTGACATTTACGTTGCTAAGCATAATTATGCACAAACCTTATCGATCGTTTACTTGTCATTCTATTTCTGTTAACTGCCACAATAGAAAACAAAATTAAAATGAAAACGAAATTGTTATTTATTGGAAAACAAAACCTGATAAACTTTGTTTAGCTGAGAATTTTGATGAGTTCTGAAACAGAATTCTAAATATGAAAACATGTTTAGTTGCTTCATACTGTTTTCCGATAATTAATTACTACGATTTTGTTCATTGATATCATACAACCCTAATCATGATACAATAAACAAAATTCATCCGCCACTTTCCACCCCACACATTTACAACTCGTTGAAATAAATCAAGAGAACAATAGAAATTACAAAAAAGAAGGGAGTTCATGTTAAGGGATGAGATAGAGAAGTAAGATCAAACAACAAACAAGTAGTCATATGGGTTGCTGTAAATTCCATGGTGAGAGGCGGCTGATTTCTAACAGATGCAACAAATGCAACAACTGCAGAATCTCAATTCTCAATTACCCATCGAAAACACAGTCAAAATCAACACACAAAAAACACGATTTTGATTAAAACAAGGGTTGGGTAACAGTTGCTCACAAACAGTTCACCTTGTAAAGGGCTCGACTCGCCGGCTGGAACTTCGTCGGGTGGAACTCGATTCGGCCGCTCGTGGTCTGAGAGAGAGGGAGATGATGAAAGTTGAAACTCGTGGTCTAGGGTTACAATGGCAAGGAGCGGAGCAAAACCAAAAAAGTTGGGGCAGAGGGGTTTCGAACGATAAACTCATTAATGATCAGTGCCGATTTTCCGCTGGCCAACGGGGATAGTCCGTCCCATTATTTTCAGGAAACATGAATTTATTGTTTTCCCCCAGCTACTTGATTTGTAGCAAATGGATTTCTTCAACGAAAACAAAATTGTAAGTGAACACGTTTTTTGTCATTTTTTTGTTAATTTTCATTTTCACAACAGAAAACAAAAAAACAAAATGGGAAGTGAACAGGGCATTAGGTTGTTAAGTACCAACATGCACAATCCTTAGATTGCTAAGCACAAGCGTGCACAAACCTTAGGTTGCTAAGCACAAATATTCACAAACCTTAGGTTGCTAAGCACAAACATGCACAATCCCCATGAAAATACCTCTAATACTCAAGTTGATTCAAACCCACACTTAATCATTCAATCTAAACAAGTAATTACAAAGTATTAGTTAGGACCTACAACACCCAAGAGAAAAGAGTGAGTTTCTAGAGAGCGAGAGAGGGATTACAAATTCGAGCTCAAGATCTTCTTCTTCTTCTAGGCTTGAATCTCCACCCAAGCCTCCAATGATGCTCCAAGATCCCTCTAACACACACACACACTCTCTCTTTCTCACTAGAACTCCCTTATGGTGTTTTTGGAAAAACCCTAGAGAAAGAAACCAATTCTTCTCCAAAAACCAGCTATCCTCTCTCTCTCCCCCCGTTGTTGTCTTCATATTTGCCCGAAAGTGATCAATTCACTGACGCGTTGGCCAGTTCACGGCTGTGAACACCTAAATGTGTACGTGAACTCAGTTGTCTCCAAAATGCATCGCTTCGCTCCTGGGGTTCACGGTCTTAGAGACCGTGAACTGCCTTGTCGTCAGTAACTTCTGGAACCTCGCTGGAAGCCTTGGTGTTCACGGTTTATGGTCCAAATTCACGGTCTTAGGAGA